GTTCCCATTTTTTTTAGAAGCTGAAACTAAGATTTAGAGATGTTGAATAAATGGCTTTAGATTATATTGGTGGCAAGTGGCTGAGGAAATTTGGAGCCTGTGACAATTTGACTCCAAAGTTCTCGTCCCCAGTGATGGCACCATGTTGTCAAGGAGCCCCATTGAAGGAAGGGGGCTCAAGTGTGGTCCTGAGGCTTCCAGGTTCTGAGATCATGGTCAGACAAGAATCTCCATCAAAGAGCTGTGTTTCTCATGACCTCTTCTGACCATTAGCCCCCCTAACCTATTGCCTTGGCTTTGAGTCACTGAATACATCCAGCCTTGAACACACTCAGCATTTTGGTGTGTCTGACTTCCACTGTCACCTTCCCTGCCTCTAAACCTGATGATACAGTTATAGTTCAGCTCTTACCTGTGCCTTGAATACTGCCAAGCAGCTCATCTCATGTATAATCTACTCTGTTTAGCTGGCCGAAGACATCGCCTCTTCTTTTTAGAGTTACCCACCCCACTTCTCAGCAGACATATTAACAATGCCTTATCATTGAAGAACTGGGGCACCATGTGTCTAAGGAAAGAGGTTTAAAATAGTTTATTAGAGAACATACATCAATATTGAACAACACAACTTAAATATTATGGCATTCATATTCAGAAGGACAATATAAATGCTTATAATTTGAACAGTCACTTTATTAAACAAATAAAATAAAATTCCTTTTTACCAGTGGGCTGCATGATTCATAAAGTATATTCTTTCAATAATTTATTCATCTGCTTAGTAATCTATACATTTGTGTTCTTAAAAAAATAACCAACATGATTGTTTACCACATCACATCATAAACAAATGGATCTGTAAAAATGACATGTAGAAAATTCAGGAACAGCACATTCCATGGAGAGTAAGTCCGTTTAAAAGGAATTAAATGCTTCAGAAGCCATTGCAGTCAGCCTGGGTGTCTTGTTTATGCATCCATACAAAATGCTGCAGCAAATTCAAGTATAACAATGCACACACGAACGTTTTATCTGACATCTGAGGGAATTCTGCCTTTTGTAGGATAGAGCATGTACCAAGCTCTCAGCACGACCACATGAGCTTTGTTACAAGGAGGTAAAGGTTGGAAAGACCAAGTCAGCTGACCAGATGCCAAAACCTGGAGAAGGCGGGGTTCACGAACAATGCAGAGTTAGAAACCGTACCTCGTGGGAATCTTACTTGCCACAACAAGGGTAAGGGTTAAAGGAAGATCATAGCAGCTAAAATCAGCCCATATCTGCTTTTCTGGCAATGTGGGAATGCTGTGCTTGTATTTTGAACAGACCTCATGAGCAGACAAGCAGGAAAGCTGCAGTAAGCCAGGGGTGAAATGGGGGTTCATGTTTAAGTGGCATCAGCTTTATTTACTAAAATACAGTTTTAATTTCATAAACAAAGTGGACCTCCGGATTTCTTTTCCTTCGTCCCAGAAAGTCAAGTCCTTCCTCGTTGCTAGTAGATTACAAAAGTGCAGCTGCAGGACCTTTACTTTTGTTTCAGTCCCCACCCGCCTCCATTCCCCACCGCTGCTGCTCTTGGTTGGTAATAAAACCCCAGGTACCCTTCAATAATAATGTGTCCAGATACAGAGATACGAGCCTTTCAATGATGAACAAAGGGAAAACCAGCTTCTGGGGATATTGTAATGATCTAATTACGTTCTGTGTTATTTGGTAGGAAAAAACTTTTTCTTTAAAAATTATTGCACATTTTCTTGCTAAAAAAAATCTTCCATTTTTAAAAACATTCAATTGCATCATTTAAGATTTGCTTGTAAAGGCTCCCAAAGCATTTAGTTATTCTAATGGATTAGCTACTTCACATTTGAGCAAATGTTTATTTGCACAACGAGAAATAGACTTATTTTTTTTTCCTGTGTGGCCATCCCACTGCAGTGCTGTACTAAAGTCTTGAGACCAAAGAGAATTGGATGACTGAGAGACCAAGGCATTTCGATTTCTAGCAGAGCCAAACATGGGAGCTGACAAAGCCCCTGCACTCATTATTTACTGGCTCTTCCTTGGCTTAAAAAATGAGAAGAAAAGCCAGCATGGTTTGCCTGCTGAGGACGTGAGGGATGGGGGTTTGTGGAACCAAGTGGCTGCCATGACAAGTGAGGCTGACTTCCCTGTGTCCTGGGCCACTGGAGGAGGAGGCATCCCAGGAGAGCCCGATGCTTGAGGTTCACAGCCCCTGGGTCTTTGCGTGGGTGCACCCCTCCCTTGCTTGGAGCAGCTCCTATTCCCGACCGTATTTTGTCCTCCAGATACTTCCAGAGAAGTCTAACTGGAGGCTGAACTGGGTGCTTTCCACTAAATTCCCGTGGTACCATGAATGCTTGTGTCTGAGTGCTTACCACGCTCCGCTGTAACTGACTTGCCTGGATGCCACAGACCACAGGCATCGGGGGGGGGGGCAGGACCACGTGTCCTCCATCATTTCTCTCCACCCTCCAGACCTGTGCTTGGAGTCTTCACTAGATACTACAGGGTAGAAAAATGAGTCAGCTTCCCTTGGTGGAAGGTGGTTTTGTTTGCAGTGTGGCTTCTTCTACTTCTCCGGATGCACTAGAATTTGAGGGACACAAAGGGAGCTTCAGCGTTTAACTTTTAAGCACACTAAAGGGGGCGTTGCACTAAGTTGACTCCTCAGGCATTGAGCTCTCGTCCCTCAAACCTGTTTTCTTCTTTCTCTGTACCTTCAAAATCATTTCTTAAGTTGCTATTGTCCCAGCATTGATAAGAGTAATGTGTTAGATTCACGCTTTAGTCAGATAAATGCTTGATAAAGAAGGAAATCCACGTGGCAGGGAGGACTTCTCCGCTTCTGAGGTGGGTTCAAAAGACAGTAGGTAGAACACAGCATCATAAATTGACTATATTTCAATGGAAAAAGGAAAAAGGAAGAGACAGTAGGTGGCAGGAAAGGGGGCTGGGCCGGAGACGCCCCTTCAGTGGGCGGTGAGGACCAGCACGCACAGGCATGAAGCTAGCTTCCTGTAATGGGTGTATGTCCCCTCAAAACCCAAAGCAGATGACCTTTAATGAAGTCTAGGAATACTTTTAATATACTAGACATTATGCATCAATATGGGCAAAGTTTTACCCTCCTGTAGACTCAGAATTCTTACTTTGAGCCCAGTGTATTTATTTTTACAAGTTCTGACTTGGGCGGGCAGCTTTTTGTAAGCCAAGGCCCATCCTCATTTCCCTGGGGCCAGCCCCATCACATTCTACT